TTTTAAGAGGAGGTTAGATGACCATCTTGCGGGGGTTATTTGCCCCCCAGTCCTCTTTCCTGCCATGGCAGGGGGTCGGACTGGATGATCTGCCCAGGTCCCTTCCGACCCTAGAAACTATGAAACTATGAAACTGCTATGGGGGAGCTGGGGCTGGCCTACAAGGCAGCAAGCTGCTCCTGTGGCCAAACCAGGGGTGCCCAGTAGCCTCAGTGTACATGCTACAGCAGGGGAGATCTGGGGTTGGTAAATGAACCTAGTTCTTCACTGCTGAGTCTGGCAGGGGCATGTATTCTGCTCAGCAGCCCTGCAAGCCACAGTGGGGTAAGAGGCTTGAGAGTATGCCAAGCTGTTAGCAGCAGCTATTGCTGGGGACAGAGACAAGGCTGCTTGTCGCTGCACTGGTGGGCTGGGGGGGTCACATGGAGAAGGTGAGTTTGAAAGTTGAGAGCGGAGTGTGTGGGGGCATGGCTGGTTGAGTGACAGGTGTGAGGAAAGGGCCCCATTTCTCAACCTGCAAATGCCCTTCTGCTCCAGCCAGCAGCATCGATAGGAAACCTGGCCTTTCCCTGGAAGCAGATTCTCCATGCTGAGACCTTGAGGAGGGCAGAGCTTGAACCCAGGGAATCACTTTTATGACAGTGGGCCTGGTCAAAGCTAATGGGCAAGGGGCTGGGAAGCAGTGATAAAGGAGGTGGGCATGAAAACCCTTCTAACCTGCCCCAGTTCTGCAATTTCCCCTGCCTGAGAGGAACTGAGAGACCTTTAACACCCCATGATGCATTCACCTAGACAAGACACCTCTCTCACTGGAGACCAAAAGATCTCAAGTGATCCCTCACTTAAGACAGGAGTACATGCTTTAAAATGGAGTGTCTTGGGAAGGACATAAGGGCCTGATGCCCTCCACTCAGCACTGTCCTTACTCCATTTGAACTCCAAGGGCTTCAGGGTAGTTACTTCTGATTTTCCATGACATAAGGACCCTTTTCGCCATCTCCAACTAAGCTCCTGAGGAGCCATTCCCTTGACATTAACAGGAGCTACACTAGACCCTGAATGAGCAGAGAACAGAGCACAGCAAACTAAATCCAACAGGCATAAGGAAGACAACTCCACTGAGTGGTGTAACTAGGATGTAGTTACTGGGGCAACCACCCTAGGTGCCAACTTGTGTGGGGGAGCATAAAAATAGTTGCTGCCAGCAGGTGCATATTCACAACTGCATTGGCAACCAGAAGCCACCTCTGTCCCTGTAGTGAGGACACCCAGCCACATTGCTACACTGCTGCCTCCACTGGCATCAATGGCATAGCATCCCCTTCCACCAAGGCAGGGTTAAATAGCCTGCAGACAACACAGCATGAACAGTGAAAGAGGGTGTCCCAGGAAATGGTAATCTGCACCCACCAGATGTGTTGGGGGCACTGGAATGAAAGCCTGGGATATAGGCCTGCCCCGTACTAGGGGGTAGGGCAGTTAACAAGACAAAAATCTTAACAAAATTGAGGGTAAGCCTTTAAGAAATGTTTCGGTTCAAACAGTCTTTTCTCTGAATCTACTGCCTGAGAACCAGAAACAAAACTGACACCAAGTGAAACCAAACAAGCTAATTTCAAGGAGTGAAGAGCAGAGATGAGCACAAACCTCCTGGGCAGAGGAGAGAAGTCAATAAGGTGGTTCAGCTAGTAACAAAGTGACAGACATCTGCTTTATAAACAAGAGGTCTCCTTGTTTAGTGAAGAAACAGATGATGTACTGACTTTTCTTGGAGAACAGTTCCCTAAAATAGCTATTATCCAGAAAGGCTGGGGAGGAAGGACAAAGCTGCCTCTGATCTAGCAGAATGCAGAAGAGGGTTTCTAACTGAGTTAGTCTCTAAAGTGCCACCCCACCCTGCCTTTTGCCTGATTTTAGATTAACATGGGTAACTACCTCTCTCTGATCTACTAGGTGAAGCAACCTAACAGCATTCCCTGCAGATACAGACCCTCTAACTAATAAGTTAGCAAAGGAAAGTCTGGTTGGACTAACTATGGTGTACTCTACTGTTCTACCTGTCCCCTTCATCTTCACACCTGACCCACACCAGCAGGGATATATACCTGCTGCTGTGGCCAGCTAATTATGTTAATCCTTTAGCACAAGTGCTAGAGGTCTGTGCTGCTGCTTGGGTTTTCAGCCTGCTGCCAGCTGGAGATGATATTTACTACAGGTCACATCCTGTGTTGGGATGGGTGAGGGGAATGGAGACAAGCTGGTGGGCAACAAGGGCTAGGGAGGATTAGGGCCTCCAACAAGGGAAAAAACAGTTGATTGACTGGGAAAAGAGCATCTAGAAAACAGGAGAGGGATTATAGTGGGCTAAAGAGGCCTGGGAAGCTTCTGACTGAGAAGGAAACACTGGGTTGGTTTGCACAGAGGTACCCAAGCTGGCTTTAAGCAAGCTCCCTGTGGTACTGGAATCAGTCCAGGCCTGGCAGCACAGAGCTCTATGTGGGCTAATCCATCCTCTCCACAGGGTAGAGATACCCACAGCAAAGCGAGGACAGAGCTGGTGGAACTTTATTTTGAAAGGTCTCTACAGAACATACCCTTCAGCCTTGACTACATCTCCTTTCACCCTCCTGAGTATTCACAAGGCTCACCTTGCACAGCCTTCATCACTCAAGGAGCTTCATAGGCTACCTCTGTGTGAGGAAGGGATTCACCTCTGTATGAGGAAGGGGGTACGGGACAGGGAGTGGTGTGGTATGTGACATGCAGGCGAAGGAAGCAGCAATGGTCACTTGCAGGTATCCAAACCCTGTCTTCTGATGCACTTGACAAGGGAAGGTGTGAACAAGAGATGGAGGCAACAAGGGCAGCCACACATTGGGTCAGAGCTTTCTTCAATGTCTCCCCACATGAACCATTTGTTTTGATTCAGCTCAGCTTGAAAGAAAAATGTCCCACCTGGCCATCCCTATTCTGCACCGAGAGCCCAATCCTGCGCCACTGCTCATGAGGGGAGCAGCACTGATTTCACATGGTCACTTGTGTCCATCAGGCTTGGGTTCAGCACCAAGAGTTGGCAGAGCGGGCCCCTGAACGGCCTTGTCCACAAACTCAGCCTAGCAGGAGGTGATGCCCATGGGCACTAGCTGAGGGGGAGCAATTTAAAGAGAGTGACCCATTTAGGACAGAAACCCTGCTCTTGGACTGTACAGGCAGAGCCTGGTAAATCAACAGGGCTCTGCCCACCTAGATCCAACTGCAAGATTGGGACCTTAAGGGCAAACTCATGCCACCACTCCTCATATTGAACTCCATTTCCATTTCCAGGTATGTTACCTCACTGATCTGGGGTATTTTAGGGTCTGTCAGGTAATTTCCCCCCTAATTTAGCTATTTCAGCATAATGAGGTTGGGTTTTTTTCTCTCGTTATGCCTAGGTTTGTTAAGCATTTCAGGGCTTTTCAAAATTTCAGGTTATCATGAGAGCTTTCTGCCTCATAAATCCACTGGGACTCTATGGTCCAGCATTATGCGAGTCTACAAGCTGCACGAGCTGCTAGGACCACATGGGAGGCACATTCCACAGCATGTGAAGTGGCCCACTCCAGGCAGTGCAGCTGAAGAAAGGAAACAGCAGCTCTACTCATATGAAGAGGAAACAGGAAGGAAAATGTCCTTTTCATGACTGCTTCAGGAGTTTCTCAGTATGCTTACATTTGAAATTGGCACTTCTAGGCCTTTAGAGGCTGTCTGAAGGTAACTTCAAGGAACCCAAAGTAGAAACACTGATGCGCCAATATGAACGTTTCAGCAAGGGGTGTGGGACACAAGAGGAGCAAGGAGGCTGGAATCTCTTTGCATTGTTACATGTTGGTAGCAGCCCTTTCCCTTCACCTACGTGGAACCCAAGGTCTTCAGAAATTCTGGGGCATCTCCACACAGCCATCTACCCCCTATCCCCTCTGCCCTCAGAGCTCCAGTCCAAACCCAGCCCCCATCTTACCGCAGCTTACTTCACTTCACAACAAAGCAAGAGGCACCAACCTGCTCATCTATTATTAACAGATGATCTGCAGCTGAACCTATCAGCTTCCTCCTCCCACCACCAACTCCTGGCTTGGCTGAATTAATTAGGACCAGACCTCATTCACTTCAAGGCTGAGAGGACCCCAGCTTCCCAACTCCCCCCTGGTACTTCCTGGTATCCTGGTTCCAGGAGCCCAGCACACAACCGTCTCCTTAGTTTGCCTTGCAGGGGGACTTTTCTCCAGCCAGCCCTACTGGCTTCATGCCGTGACTGCATTTGGCCATGTCTGGATGTTACTTTCTATGTCCCCTGTTGCTTTCTGCTTGCTGGAAGCCCGAATGGAAAGTCCTGGAAGGCTTTCAGCTCTGGCTAAGGGATGCTGACTCTCAAAGCTTCAGGGCTGAAGCTTTCTAGCCTTGGGATCCTCTGGAGGTGGTGCTGTTCCCAGCAGCTGAGAACAGTGTAACAGTCGGAGCATGGTCTAAAAAAAAATAAAATAAAAAAAGAAATGCTGGGGGGAGGGAGGGAAAGATCTGGACTTGAGGGTTTTGAGTATCTCCTCTAAGCTGCCCATCAGCTCCATGGGCTTGGCTGCCCCAAGATCTTTGGCACGCTAGGAGCTAAACACCAGTCCCAGAGGAAATGTTCCACTAGTCCCAGTCCCCTTGGCCTCTGCAAGAGGCAGGGACGGAGGTCAGAGATGCAGCAGGGTGATGTGTGGTGTCATTCTCTCTGAGCCCTACTCAAGCCAACCTAGGTCTCCAGCAGCTGCACTGGGAACCAGGGCATGCTGCTCCCCACTTCTGTCCCGTCTTTCCGTTCCCCCTCTTCTGTTGTTGTTGTTATTTTATTTTTTTTGCGTGATAACTGGTCTGTAGTTTTATGCCAGGCCACAGGGGGTGCTCTTGCTCGCCCAGCTTACTGTCACCCCATCTTCCACGACGTCATTGCTGCCAGAGGGCATGGGAGCTATGTGGAGCACCTTCGCTCCAGGAATGAGAGGCAGAGACCTCTCTGCCCCACATGCCAAGCACGGAGCAAGAGCCTTGTTTCCTTGGCTTGCCCCCTCCCTTCCTACGTCCTGCGTCTGCCCACACGTGGGCCCCCAGTGGTGCTCAGCAAGGAGACCTGGCTGCCCTCCCCGCTCACAGCGAGGTCTCCACACAGGACCCGTTCCGATGGAGGTGGCGGTGGTCATGGTTGAGGCAGCCCTCGTTGCGATGCACGATGAGGACGGGGAAATAGAGGGCATCCTGGTAAGGGGGAGGGTCCTCCTCTTCCACGGTGACCTGGCTGGAGAGGCGGGTCTGCTCCGTTGGGCAGCTCTGCTCATTCAGACTCCCGCTGCGGCTCTGCCAGAGGCAGCTGCGCCGTGAGCCATAGAGGCGGCCCAGCGAGAAGCGGCTGCTGCTGAAGGGGATCCTGGGGCTGCCGTTGCAGATGCTCAGTGCGCTACGGGAGAAGATGGAAGAGCTGCTTATAGTCCTGTGGCACCGCTCGCAGTTCTGCCGGTAGCCCCCATATCTGCAGGCTGAGTAACTGGTGCAGCTAGAGAGCCCCACCAAGTCCATCAGTACAGCTTCTGAGTAGCTAGGCACCAGCTGCTGGTTTGACCGGATGTGCCACTCCAGTTCGGTGCTGTCCACCGTGTTGACGCGGGGCATCCTGCGACAGAAGGAGCGCTCCTCAGCTGGTGTCACTGCCACAAAGTCAAACCCAAACAGCTTTTCCACATGGTAATGGACGTAGGAGGTACGGTACTCATTCAGCACCCGCAAGGGCCAGGACAGGGTCAGGAGGGCAGCCACCCAGAAGACATAGTGGGACACATACCAAGGCAGGTTATCCGGGTCCGAAAAGGCCACCATATACTCCTTGAATTCCACATTCTTGAGGTGCATCCCCTCCCTGGCCTCCATGTAGTCATCCAGCCCCTCATTCTCAGTGAAGAAGCGAGCTCGTTGCGTCAGGTAGGAGTTCTCAGACTCCACGTTGGCAAAGCTAAAACACTTGGTGAAGCGAAGCCGTGTGGCTGGGTAGCTCTCCAGGTCAATTAGGTCCTTAGAAATGTCCTTTACCCCACAGTTGGAGTAGTCAAACTCAGCCTCCGCCACATGTGTGTTGACTCTCTCATGGTACACTTGGGTGGTGGTATAGGCGTCCCCATTGCGGTAGCGGGTGACCTGCCTGGTCCTGCGAACATAGTGGTAGCTGATGGCTTTCCACCAGATGCATGGGGTGGCTTGCTGCATCCTCTGGACGCGCTCATGTACACTTTCCACATCCACCTTGTACTGGAGCTCGTTGCGGGTGTAGCAGTGCCAACATTCCACCAGGTAGACCACGTACAGCATCACCAGGAAGGCCAGGGGGATGTAGACATAGCCATTGGAGCAGGGGCTGTCATGGTACATCAAGGACTTGCCCTTGTAGGCGCTGTCAAAGGTCAGCCGGGTGACCTTGGTCACATGGCACCAGGTCATGGCTCCCATGCAGCCATACATGAGAAGGGACAGGAGCAGGCATTTCCAGTGGGATTCTCTGCAGAGGGACTTGCTGAGGGACTGCTTCACTGGCCGCTGCTGCTCCATGTGCCCAGAGAAACCAGGGAGAGGGGGAGAAAGAACAAGAGGAAAAGTGAATAGCCTGAAGCAAGAAGGGGAAAGCCAGTACACCACAGAGAGCCTTGACTAGCACCTGCGATCTACTGGCCAGAGACCAAATCAGAGACTGCTGACTGGGGCATCCTGATGAGGCTTGTGGTGTGCAAACAGCTCTCTCTATTATGTAAAGAGCTGACATAAAGTGGTTCACTTTGAAAGGGGATCAATCTTGCTGCTGCCTTGCATGGAAGGGTCTGGGGTCCTGTGCAACAGCCCTACCACACTAGAAAGTTCCTGCCAGCCCCAGTCAGACTTTCCTTTGGGATGACCACTCTTCCTGGACACTGCATTTCCAGGACAACTTACTCTATGTTACACTGACTTCCCAGGCAGGCAGCAGATCCCACAGGGGAGCTTCTTGGGCTAAGCCCCTCAGTCAGCAAGTGAGGGGGGCAGGAGGCTTCAGCTTCATCCAGAAATGATGCTCTTCCATGTGCTTTGTGGAACCCATGCCCATTCCCACCCACCTCCTGAAGAACCCCCAGCTGTCACTATGGGAGGAGATACCCACTCGCTGCTGTCCCACTGGAGGGTGGTCAGGTTTTCTTCCCCATCAAATATGGACAGGGTCTGCCGTCCTTGTCTTTGCTAGCCAAGCCTGAGAATACATCTAGGGTCTGCCAGCACAGCGGCACCACTAGAGCCCTCCCAGCGATTCTCACTAGAGAACCCTTTTGCCATATAGCTTAAAGCAGCTCCTCAAGCAGGGTCAGACAGACCAGCACAAGGACTTTACACTACTGCAGCTGCATCAACACTAGGCTTTGGCTGACACAGCGGTGCTAAGCGGGGGAGGGGGGAGGAGACAGAGTTGTGCATTGTGCATTTTTTTTCTCTGCCCCTGTGCCAGCAAGTATTTGAAGTGCAGATGAAGCCTTGCTTCCCCCTTACTTGCTCCATCAATGAACCAGTGCTGAAGGGCTGGGCTGTCTGGACCCTACCCCTTCTGCTGCTTGAAACCAAGGCTGGGACCTCCATGTAGGCTATGGGATGATGATCCCACCTGCAAGGCTCTGCCTTAACTCATTTTTTCTGCCTATTACCACCCTAGGCTAACTGGCTGTCTCCCCCCGCTTCCCACCTCTGCCCAGCAGCAGTGCTCATCTCAGCAGCATTTGCATTCACAGGAGAGTTGCTGGAATGTATGATATTCCAGATGTTAAGCTACTGGGCCCAGTACAGAGTCCCTGCCCTTCGGCTGCAGAGCTGTAAAACCCTCTTGTCCTGTTCTCACTGTAGTACCTGACTGAACCAGGCTGGCAACAGGAGAACTGCTGTAACCAACCCTCTCCCCACCAGGGACATTAAACAAGCCCCTGGCTCTCAAGGCTTTTAGTTACCAGTGCACAGAACATCTGGAGATGCCTAAAGAAGCAAAAGCTACTGAGGTACCTTAGCAGATCCCCAGGGATTCATAGAAACATGGTGTGAGCTGCCCCCTGCCTTGTGTAATACAAGTGACCACTCATGTGCACTGTCCCTCTGAGCACTGCAATCATGGCCTCTTGCATGCAAATTTCCCTTGCCTGGACTTCAACAATGACCCGTGGCGTATGTGTTCCCAGCCCCTCTGGCTCTCTAACAGAGGCTTCTAGCACGGAAGATTTCCAACCAACCCCTCCAACATGCCAATGGTGATCGCTAGCACAAAAATGCCTCTTGCCCTCTCCCCCAACGTAGGAATAGTGACCTTTGCTACATGAGTTCCCTGCCCCTGTGCTCTCCTTCCCCCTGAGGTAGTGACCCAAGTAGTGGCCCCCATTTCCCCACCCTTGGCACTTCAATAGCAGCCTATAGCATGCAAGTCCCTCCTTCCAGGACAGCAATAATGGCCTTTGGTGTACAAGCTCCCTTGCTCCCCTGCCCCAGCAGTGACCTAGTAGGTGTGACTCTACTCTCAGCCCTGCATCAGTGACTGACACCTCTCACTCTGGCTGGTAGGTACCTTCAGTGTATTATGCCACAATCAGAAGAGAATCCACATGTGATGGGCAGAGCCTCTTTCATGGCTTGCCATTCCTGCAGCTTACCAGGGTAAAGTGCTGCAGGGTCAGGTCTAAAGCTGTGATCTTCAAGGCCCCATAGTCTGCAGTGCTAATTAATAACAGATGTGACTTAGGTGCTGCCTTTCATCCCAAAGGATCCCAAACTCCATCCTATGTCCAGCCGCACACCACTTTCCAAACACTCAAATGCAGCTACCTCTGGGGCAAGATAAAGCCAGTATTTGACAACAGCTATCCTACCAATTGTTTGGGAGAAGAAGTGAAGATTGCTCTCCCCAACTGCAATTCAGAGGTGGGAAGGGATGGCTGGAGGCAGAAACAGAATTCCCTGCTCTGGCATTTGGCTGGGACACCACAGTGAACATTGCAATGCTGGGGAAATTGCTCCAGGGGAGGGACACTTTCAAGCACATTCGGCCTACTGACTCCCATGCACTTGCAACAAACCTGGAAAAGTGGTGGTGAAGTTGTGCTAAGGTGTGCTGCTCCAAAGCATGCCAAAGACAGTGGTCTCAAAAGTGACCCCAAGGGATGTCCCTGGAGCAGGCTCACCACCTGATCTCTGGGTGTGTGGGATGCATGAGCAGGAATTGCGGGGGAGGAGGGCTGGCATGCTTGAGTGCATCCCTCCTCAGCCACACCAAGGGAAGTGGTGTGGATGTACCCTAGGCACAAATGACTTAAGATCCCCCTGCTCCTATGTGGGTTTTTCTTATATGTTTTGCAAAGTCATCCTCCAGAACTCTTGGCCACTGGACATCATAGAGACTGATAGTTTAGACAAGTGAAACCTGTATGCGAATAACAAAAACTTTTAGAGCTACAAATATAAACCCTCCTGCCTCAGGGCACAACCCAGAGGTATAGGAAGAAACTGTCCACTTCTGGGTCTTTTGTACCTCCCTCTAATCACAGACAGGAAACAGGATCTTTGTTCTGAGCTGGCACAGCCATTCTGTGTTCCTGCTTTACTAGGATAAAGATACCAAGCTCCACAGTTTCCTGTGTATACAGATAACATTGGATTTGGCAAAATTCCTAACCAGTACAATCCTCTATAAGGACAGCAAATAGCCCCTTGCATATTATCCAAGAGCCAGGTTTTGCTTTTGCCCCAAGGTGCTCAGCTGGCTCTCAGCATTCTCTCTGATGCCCCAGCCCCTGCCCTTTGAGGTTCAGGTAATGTACTGCTTTATGCACACACACAGGTTTGCTCCCCCTCCTGCAAAATATAAGGTGGGTTGATCATAGCTGCTGCATCCCACCCCAGAGGGGGCAGCATTTCAGCAAGAAGGGGAACAATTCCCTGAAGGTGCCCATTGTGGAGAGTGTTTTGGGATGTGACAGGGATCCAATATGCTAGTTAAAGAAACACTGTCAAAAAAAATGTATATTTGTGTTGGTTCCTCCCCAGTGTTACTGAGAATGCCCAGGATTATTAACACTGGAAGAAACTTTAGTATCTCATCACTTTTGTTTCCAGCTACGAGTCTAAAGTGGTCACTTTCCCTTCTGGTTCTCGTGTGTGATGAAATGAATGCAGCTGCTTCCAAGTAAACTTCTCATTGTTATTATTAATTCATTATTAGTTTTGCTGCATCACCCACAAGCTCCAGGCATGGACCAGGATCCCCATGTTCCAGGTGCTGTATACACACACACACATGAAATGAAAACAATGATTCCTGGCCCAAACTTGCAATCTCACTATGATAACCAACATATACAGACAGACAAAGGAGGCAATCAGACAGTACTGGTCAGCCTGACAGACAGCAGGATCAGCATACCCACTTAGTGATGCCATCATTATGACTTTGAGTCCCTGAAAAGGTTTATTTAGAAGCTGCATTTAAATTATTGGGTGAAGCTTTGCAAACAGCTTTAACTGGTTCTGAAACACATAGGTGCACACACACATGCTCTGAGGCTGGGCTCCTTTTTAAACAGAATAGACTAGGATCCTTTTAAAATCCTGCACCCTGTGGAAATCACTGGAAACCACTGGACACAGAATGCCTGTGATCCAGCTGCAATTACCAGAGATCAGGGGTCTTAACCTGCAGTGCTCTCTACTACCCTTGTGCACAGTGAAAGAACGTAAGAGTGTAAATGTGATGTCAGCAGTGTGCAGGCAAGCTCCAGGGCACAGCCTCAGCCCTCCTGGTTCAAGTAACCCTCTAGGACTTCTTCCACCCAAGGACCCCAAAGTGCTACACCAACACTAATGAACATGGCCTCATGACCTCTCCATTGTCCTCACCACAGGGAGAGGAAACAGGGGCTCCTAGTAGGGAGGGAACCTGCCAAGGATCACAGAGTCATCAGCAGATCTGGGAGTGTGATCAAGATGTCTTGGGCTTTAACTACACAAAATCAGTCTCAAGCCCAAGCCCCAACATGGGGAAGAGAAGCTATGCCCACCATGGTCTCTCTGACTCCAACCCTTTGCCCCTGCCACCACATTCTGAGCTTACCAATACCACAGGGAGTTTCGCTACTGTTTCCAGCAGGACCAGATTTCAGAGAGCCTCTCACTAAGCTTCAGTGCATCCTGCCCCAGGAACTGGCCTTTGATGAGTGGAACACAGCCACATGTAGAAAGAACATCAAAGCGGCACACAGTCAGGGGAGCCAACAGCAAGAGGAAGGAGAGCTGCACAGAGGCCCTCCTCTGTGTCCCTCCAGGGCCTGTGCAGATGGTGGTCCCTGATGCCTGTTTACCATCTGGGCTTGAGAGCCAGCACTGAGTAACAGTATCCCAGCCAGGGAAGGGGCCCCAGTGTAGGTTTAATCTCCAGGTAACAGGCCTGGGCACAAAGAGCAAGGAGCTGGCTCTGCATGTAGTGGATCTGGGAGCCTCAGATCTGGCAGAGGCAAGCCTCAGCCTTGCTCTGAATCAGCACAGAGAATCACCTCGGT